TTTAGATTATGTGTCTGATTTCAAAGAAAAACTTTACAATGCTTGTAAATTAGCACAAGAAATTTTGAAGAGTTCTCAGATGAAAATGAAAATGTGGTATGACAAAGATGCCAGAAATAGGGTGTTTAAGCCAGGTGATAAGGTTCTTGTATTTTTACCTATTCCTGGTCATCCTTTACAAGCCAGATTTAATGGCCCTTATGAAATTGAAAGCAAGATCAGTGATGTAAACTATGTAGTTAAGACACCAGGTCGACGTAAAGAGAAACGGGTTTGTCATATTAACATGTTAAAAGAGTATTTTGAAAGGTGTGACCGAAATTCTGTAAAACCAGTTTCCACTTTAGCCAACGCTAAGACTGTTCAAAATTGTATTGAGAGTGATACGAGTGTAGAGATGAATGAGAAAGATTGTAATCAGAGTGTCCGCTTGAAAAACTCAGAAATTTTGGCTGATTTTGATGCCAAACTTGAACATTTGAACATTCACCAAAAAGAACAAGTTAAAAACTTGATGAATGAGTACCATCAAATCTTCGGATGTTCCAAAGAAAACTAATGCAGCTTGTCATGATGTTATAGTTGGCGACGCTCTGCCTATCAAACAACATCCGTACCGTCTCAATCCAATAAAATTACAGTACCTAAGAAGGGAAGTGCAGTATATGTTGGACAATGACATTGTTGAACCTAGTAAAAGTAATTGGAGCTCACCGTGTATTCTTGTACCAAAACAGGACGGTTCCTACCGATTATGTACAGACTTTAGAAAGGTGAATTCTGTTACCAAAACTGATTCATATCCAATACCTAGAATTGATGACTGTATTGACAGCATTGGAAACGCCAAATTTGTCAGTAAATTTGACCTGTTGAAAGGCTACTGGCAAGTGCCGTTAACAGAAAGAGCAAAAGAAATATCTGCTTTTGCTACACCAGATGGACTTTACCAGTATAAAGTAATGCCTTTTGGCATGAAAAACGCACCGGCTACATTCCAAAGGATGATTCACTCCCTTCTTCAAGACCTTGAGAGATGCGAGGCCTACATTGATGATGTCGTCATATACAGCGACACATGGGACGAACATCTCCGAATCATGCGTGCTTTATTTGACATTTTAGCTAAAGCAAACTTAACTGTGAACCTTGAGAAGAGCGAATTTTGTCATGCCTATGTAGAGTATTTAGGTCATAAAGTAGGTCAAGGTTATGTTACACCCATTATGGCTAAAGTGGAAGCTATTGCAAAGTTCCCGATTCCTACAAACAAGAAAGAGTTAATGAGGTTTTTGGGCATGGCTGGGTTTTACAGAAAATTTTGTCCAAATTTTTCCTCAGTAGTTAGTCCACTTACAAATCTTTTACAAAAGAGGGTTAACTTTGAATGGACAAAGGACTGTGAAAAATCATTTCATAAAATCAAATCTGTCCTTATGAGCAATCCAGTTTTGTCAACTCCAGATTTTTCTAAGCAATTTAAGCTTACTGTTGACGCTAGTGATGTTGGAATCGGGGCAGCTTTATAGTGATAAGGTAGATAGAGTTGTTTCTTATTTTTCAAAGAAACTTACAAAATGTCAACAAAAGTATTCCACCATTGAAAAGGAATGCCTTGCTTTGTTGTTAGCCTTACAGCATTTTGATGTTTATCTGAATGTTACTTTGCATCCAATTCTTGTATATACGGATCACAACCCCCTGACATTTTTGCATAAATTGTCAAACAAGAATCAAAGACTGACTAGATGGAGTTTGTTGTTACAAGAATACAACCTAACAATTAAGCATATCAAAGGCAAAGACAATATTATTGCAGATGCCTTGTCCAGAGTATCATGAACAAATTAGATTTTGTATTAATGTACATAACTTTTATTTAAATAATATAAGTTTTCATTGACATTCAAACTTTTTAAGGGGGGAGGTGTTGTGAGATGTGTATTGTTTCATCTTGTATATTATTAGTAACATTAAGTTTCTTGAGCATTCCAGAGTGGTCAATATGTTTGGTCATTTTTTCTAGAACATTCTTGAACTTTGTTTATGTCTAGAACTTTCCAGGAATATCATGTATTTACAATTTCTAGAATATTCTAGATTTATGATACTGTATAAATACCCTGTCAATTCGATGCATAAATAATTGTGGATACATTGTCGTATAAGCATCATTGAGGTATTACTGGGATATAATTTCACTGGGACACTGTGTGCAGCAACGGACACTCTGATGTATGTATTTTTAGATTTTTGCTAAGTTTGTACTTAATGATTTGTATATTACTGTAAATAAATTATTGTTAAGTTTAAACTGTGTGATTGATCTTTGCTGGTATTTAGGGTTATTCTGACCCATAACAATAGTAATCAAAGCTTTAAAATATAACTATAGTTATCAAACGTTTAAATTTTGAATAGAAATAATGCTTTTAAAGCTTAAGAAGTGAAAGCAGTCCGACCCACCCCTCTACGGAATAAGTTTAACACCTTTGACAGGAGTGTACATTTTTTTTTCTTGGTTTGTTTTTTTTCCTTTTCTTTTTTTTTTCCTTTTTGCTAGTGAACAAATTTATGGTTTGAATGTAATTCTTACTTATGCAGAATCCATGCACCCCTCCCACCCGGGAATAAATTCCGAGGCTTGGATCCTGGCTTGAATCCCCGATACATATTGATGTTAAACCATTAGGGATGTATCATGTCATATCATGAAAAGTAACTCAAAAACCTCCATCCAAAGGGGGGTGAGGGTGAAATAAGTACATGTACTTTATCCACTCTTGAGGTGACTGTGGAAGTACATAATTTAGTTTGTATTTTAACTGAAAATAAGTAATTATAAAAATGCACATACTACATGTATTTGATTGCCTTTTATACAAGTTCGTTCATGGGGAGATTTGATCTAAAGTTGCACTGCAAGAAAACGATTCTTCATGCTGTACTTTACATCAGATCCATACAAACCTGAAGGGGGGGGGGGCAATAATTCACTATTACACACTTAATAGAAAACAAAGCTCATTAAATGTTTAACCTTTAAAAGCTTTACTAATATATAGTTAATACTCTTCAAAAGAATATTTAAAAAATTTGATTGTGCACCTCAAAGGAATGTGAGGTATTGCTTTGTTTTTGTTGAATTTTTTTGTTAGGCTGGTCCCCTCTTTTAACTAAATTTATACCAGCCTGTGCATATCATGTTAAGTCTTCTTTAATCTAATTCTATTTCTTTTCAAATCTTACATAGCAAGTTAAATTCACGCATCTTAATTAGGCCATCTTAAAAATAATGCCTGCTTAACCTCTCCTGACTTGGGGTAAAATTATTGGATCATTAGGTAGGTCGAAAAAAAATCCAGAAAATCTGTTGATGGAATAATAGGAATAAAAATAAAAAAAGATTTTGTCCTGGTATGTAAAAAAAAAATTGAGTCGGGCCATTTTTAGACAGTCGATCGGGAGAGGACAACCATTTTATTTAAAGATGTCATTACATGTAGCTATTTCATTATTGACTCAACACACAGTTTTTAAAATAGAGTTCTGGCCCCGGGATCATGAAGCATCTTAAGCTTAAGTCTAAAAATGGCTTAGATGCTGAATTTATTTAGAGGTTAAGGAGACCAAAATGAAAATGCTTTCAAATTTTCTATCATCAATCTGCTGTCATATGCAAAATATGAGTTTCCTTCAACAAGTTTAAAAGATTTTATAGATTATTGAAATTTTGACTTAAGTCTAAGTCTGTTTTATGATCCTGGGTCCAGGTTTCCTCTCAGGGTTCGTCAGTTTCAAAGTTGAACACTTCTCCCGAACGCCATGTGATATTTAATTGACATCTCCAATACCAATGAGTAAAACCTCGTTGTGCTCTCCAATGGCTTCTCCATTTCTTGACTCTTTTTAAAATCCAGAAGTTTGGTTTCCGAAAAGATGATAAATCTCTCTCTCTCTCTTTAATTTTTCAACATGAAACTGTAGTGCGTAAAGCTACAAACACACATGAGCCAGATTCAGTTATTTGATCTATTCGTTTTCTTTGAAATACAGAACTTTTAAGTACAGTTCATACTGATAACTGCAACGGCCAAAACAAGATTTCTTTATGAAAGGAATACGTGCATATGTTTAATTTTTTGTGGCAAATTATGACGGGCAGCAGGACAAATCAGTTTATGATACAAGTTCAATGTCAAATGCTTGTAGCATTGATTAAAAACTTAGGAGACTAATCTATTGATCAGACTGAAGCAATCCTGAAACAGTTTTCACTTGGCTCTCGTGTACCCCATATGACGTGGCTGGAATGAAAGGCTTTCCTACATCTCTAAGGGGAATTCAAATGTACTCAACTGATTACAAAATACGAAGCCTGGTATTTTGTCTGTAGAGAAATAAGGTTCAAAAGCAGAAATAAAGGTCAGCGTTTTAGAAGATGAGAAATTTTACACAGGATTGACCAATAGTTTACTGACCAATGATCTTATTGACGCCCGGAAACATTTATCTGGTCACCATTTCCCAACAGGCCTGTTAACCGCTTGAATAAGTATATGTAATGATACTAAGCTTTATTTTTATATTAGTTTTTTGTTTCTTTCTTATCATAATTATTTTGTTAGTCCTTTATTGTTAAGAAACATTTGTAGTCTACCTTTATGAAATTAATTGGATAAACATAAACAAATGTCATTCGCTGTGCAACATGTACGGATACACTCACTTTATAATTAATAAATGTATTTAATGATATTTTTATTAAAAAATGTGTTAGGAAAAAATAATTCATATCAAAATTAAAATCAGGTTAACTTATTTTATCATCAGATTAATCTTAGACTTTGTTTTTAAAAAGTCATTTCTTTTCACAAAGATAACGTTATTGAAGTCCTTGTATCTAAGACGTCATTTTTTTTTAAAAAAAGATGACGTTATTGAATAACGTCATTGAAGTTGTTGTTTAATTGCAACATGTTTGTCCTGAGGAAGGGACAGGGCGTCCGGAAAATTTGACTATTTGCATTTTCAATATTCTTTCAAGAACCACCGGGCCAATTTCAACCAAACATGGCACAAAGTATCCTTGGGTAAAATGGATTCAAGTTTGTTCAAATGAAGGGCCAAATCCTCTTCCAAGGGGAGGTAATTATGAATTAATGAAAAATTTATGTCATCTTTTAAAAATCCACTAATCCAGAACAACTGGGCCAGGAAAGATGAAACTCCTCAGGTAGTGTAGATTCATGTTTGATCAAGTCTTGAGCTTTTGGGCAGGGCGACAATGGCTGATCAAAGTTCTACATTGGAAAATATAGGAAAAATCTTTAAAATCTTTTTCTCCAGAACCAATGACCCAGGAAAGATGAAATTCATGTGGAAGCATCTTTATGTAGTGTAGATTCAAAGTTGTTCTATTCCATGATCCCTGGGGGTAGCTGGGGCGGGGCCACAATGGATGTTCAAAGTTTTACATAGGAAAATTGAAAAAAAAAACTTTAAAAATCTTCTCCTCCAGAACCACAGGGCCAGGAAAGATGAAACTCATGTGAAAGCATCCTCATGTACATGTAGTGTAGATTCAAATTTATCTAAATCATGACCCCCGGGGGTAGGGCGAGACCACAATGGGTGATCAAAGTTTAACACAGGAATATATAAGAAAAATCTTTAAAAGTCTTCTTCTCCAGAACCACTGGGCCAGGAAAGATGAAACTCATGTGGAAGCGTCCTCATGTAGTGTAGATTCAAATTTATTTAAATCATGACCCCCAGGGATAGGGCGGGACCACAATGGCTGATCAAAGTTTAACACAGTCAGGAGTATATAAGAAAAATCTTTCAAAAGTCTTCTTTTCCAGAACCAGTGGGCCAGGAAGGATGAAGCTCATGTGGAAGCATCCTCAGGTAGTGTAAATTCAAGTTTGTTCAAATCGTCACCCCTGAGTGTAGGGCGGAGCCAAAGTGGCTGATTAAAGTTTTACAAAGGAATATATAGGATTTTTTTTTAAAACTTCTTCTCCAGAACCACTGGGACAGGAAAGATGAAAATCATGTGGAAGCATCCTCAGGTAGTGTGGATTTGTTTGTTCAAATCAAAATCTCCGGGGGTAGGGCGGGTCCACAATAGCTTATCAAAGTTTAACATATGAATATACAATGTATAGGAAAAAAATTCTTCTCAAGGTCAGCAAAGCAATGATTGAGGATATTTATATGGAAACATCATCAGTTAGAGTATATTCAAGTTTATTCATATCACGACCCCTCGGGGGAGGCGGGGCCATAATGAGCAATCAAATCTTTACATAGAAATATATAGGGGAAATCTTCAAAGCTACTCTTCTCAAATATGGTGAAGTTGTACATGTATGCTTTATTGATATAGTGATATTCTCAAGTAACAGATAAACAACGCCCCCTCCCCCAAGTTAACTTTTCAATTTTGAACCAATTGGTGTTTTTAACTAGCCCATGTGCTCAGGTGAGCGATGTTGCCTATTGGCCTCTTGTTACAATTTAAAATCTACACTATCCCATTTATGGCCCAATGGTTCTTGAGAAGAAGATTAAAAAAGAATTTTTCTAATTCTTTCTATGTCAAAATTGGATTCCCTATTGTGACCTCGCCCTACCCCTTAGGGGCAAGATTTTACCGATTTAGATTCTACACTACCCCAGGATGCTTCCACATAAGTTTCAGCTTTCCTGGCCTACTGGTTCTTGAGAAGAAGATTTGTCCTATATATTTCTATGTAGAACCCGCCCTACCACCCGGGGTCATGGATTTTTCAATTTAGAATCTACACTACCTCAGAATGCTTTCTCATTAGTTTCAGTTTTTATGGCCCATTTGTTGTTGAGAAGAAGATTTGAAAAGATTTTTTCCTATATATTTCTATGTAAAACTTTGATTCCCTATTGTGTGATTTTAACAATTGAGAATTAACACTATCCCAGGATGCTTCCACGTAAGTATCAGTTATCCTGGGTCATTTGTTCTTGAGAAAAAGATTTTAAATTTTTTTCCTAAATACTTCTATGTCAAACTTTGATTCCCTATTGTGGTCTCGCTCTACCCCCGGTGGCCATGACAATTTAGAATCTACACTACCCCAGGAAGCTTTCACATAGGTTTCAGCTTTCCTGGTTCTATATGGTTCTTGAGATGAAGATTATGAAAGATTTTTCCTTTATATTCCTATGTAAAACTTGGATTCCCTTTTGTGAACCAGTCCTACCCCCGGGGCTCATGATTTTAACAATTTAACAATTACTCTACTCCAGAATGCTTCCACATAAGTGTCAGCTTTCCTGGCCTACTGGTTCCTGAGAAGAATATTTTTAAGTGACCCATCCTTTTTTGTCTTTTATTGATTATTTCCCCTTGGAAGGGGACTTAGCCCTTTATTTTAACAATTGGAACTCCGCATCAACCAAGTATACTATGTACTGAGTTTGTTTAACTCTTTACAACTTACTGAACTGTTTTGAAACATGCACTTATTAGTCACGTCATAGAAATAGAAATTTACCATTTCTCCGCAAGCACCTTAAAGTATGGTACACGTTTCTCTAAAGTTTAGCGTTAGTTATATTATAACATTATATTTTAATACAAAAATAAATATTCTTATCTTATGTGATTTTTGCTAGTATAACAAAGAAGGAAAGAACTACGAACGCTAACTCTTGATTCACATCTTTGTTTAATACAAAGAACAGTTCTATGGTAAATGATTAATCATTTTATTTCCAGCGTTAGATAGTAAATTATCATTAATTCCAGCTCTTGAAAAAAGGGGTGTAGGCGATATTTTCTGGTGAAAAGGAACTTTCAAGAATCACCATATTATGAAATAGTCTTAAATATAATAAAATTTATCTCATATCTTTTCTTAGTTTTACGCAAATAAATAAAACATGTATAAATAAATAAAAAAACAATTAGTCAGGTGTAAATAGCTGTAAAATTGGTGAATATTCAGCATATTTTTTCGTTTTTTGTCTATAAACATATGTTCCCCCCCCCCCCGTGAAACACAAAAAGCTTTGGCATAAATTTGTTAAATGAAAGTCAATATTACCTGTAAAAAGGAATTTTTGTTTCAGGGGGGGATGTTTTAAAGATATTTTCCGTTTTCCATTGATTTCTATAGTGAAAAACACAAGTTTAACCAAAATTATAGAGTTATCTCTCTTTGGTATCCCAAATAGGTAACGTTTTAAGAAAATTCATTTAAATATCTATAAAAATTTCGAAAATCATTCGAATATAATAACTTTTGAGAATTGACTTAGAGGTAGGCGGGAGAACAATACTATTGTTCGTGGTTCTTTGCATTCAATTAAAGATTAATTGGAATTTTTAAAGTACGTGAAAATGTGTGATTGCGGGGATACGGTATATGTGTGATTTTGCGTCAGAAATAGGAAATGGTATATGCGTTAAAATGCGTGACTGCGGGGTAGGGGGTTAAATCATCCTAGCGGGTCTTGAGAAAATGATGAAAATGCGAAAAGTTTACAGACGGACGGACGGACTACGGACAAAATATGAATAGAAAAGCTCACTTGAGCCTTCGGATCAAGTGAACTAAAAATACACCTAAAATTAAGACTAAAAAAAAATTTGAGGTTCTGCTACAGTTCATTGAATGGAAGACGTCCTGTATTTGAACACTGCCCCTAGCAAGCGCATGCGCTTAGCGATTAAATATGCACTTAACAAATAATTAAGGTCTTCCGTTTCAGACGGAAGACCTTACAGTGATTCTACTGTTTTTTCTTATTCTTATTATTATTTTTTCCCCAAATCTTGTCGGCAGGATTTCTCAGAGATGGCTGGACGGATTTTCCTGAAATTTTCAGAGATGATAGAACATGAAAATACCCCGAGACGTTTTATTCATTTTTTCAAAATTGACTTCCGGTCGTCAGATATGTCCGATTTCCGCTTTTTTCAAAAATATTTAATCCGAGTGAGTTCTCAGAAACAGTAAGAGATTAAGACACCAAACTTATAGGGATGATAGATCTTGATAAGTAGGCAAATCCATTTGGGTTAAGATTGTCCGTCGTCACTTCCGGTCGTCACAGGAAGTGTTCATAAATATCGAAAATTTCAACTTTTCTTTTTTGAAACTTTTTTTGCATTACATTATAGCATCTTATGTGTAGTTTCGAAATATGTCAGTCCCACCGGAAACAAAAACGACAACTTCCGGTTATAAGAGAAAAACTGCATATTTTCAGTATTTTTCTTTCCTATAAATATTTTTTATGCATTAAGAATTTGTAATGATTTTTTTTATATGTTATTCAGTCTGCAAATGTCTAAAGTAACGTCAAATATCTTTGTAAAATTCACTTCCGGTCGCATGACTTCCTGTCCTCAAAATGAGAAGTTATCACATCTAGATCTCAGAAACGGTAGGAGATTAAGATACCAAACTTATAGGACAGATAGATCTTAGGAAGTAGACAAATCCATTTGTAATAAGATTGTCCGCCGTCACTTCCGGTTGTCAAAGGAAGTGATCAAAGAAATCGGAAAATTCAACTTTTGTTTTATGAAACTTTTTTTGCATCACATTATAGCATCTTATTTGTAGTTTCGAAATGTATCAGTCCCACCGAAAACAAAAACGACAACTTCCGGTTATAAGAGAAAACTGCATAATTTGAGTATTTTTCTCTCCCATTTATATTTTTCATAGAAAAGTATTTGTTAAGATTTTTGGATATGTTATTCAGACTGAATATGTCTACAGTAGCGTCAAATATCTTTATGAAATTTACTTCCGGTCGCGTTATTTCCTGTCCTAAAAATGAGAAGTTATCACAGCTAGATCTCGGAAACGGTAAGAGATTAAGACACCAAACTTATAGGACTAGTAGATCTTAGTAAGTAGACAAATCCATTTGTAATAAGATCGTCCGCCGTCACTTCAGGACGCTACAGGAAGTGATCAAAGAAATTAGAAAATTCAACTTTTCTTTTATGAAACATTTTTTGCATTACATTATAGTATCTTATTTGTAGTTTCGAAATGTATCAAAAAGAGTAAACGAAATGATTTTAGGACATACCATTCATACTGAAATGTCTATAGTAACCTCAAATATCTTTTTATACCCCCCGCTTCAAAAGCGGGAGGGTATATAGTAATCGTTAATTCCGTCCGTCTGTACGTCTGTCCGTCCGTCCGTCTGTCCGTCCGTCCTTCCGTCTGTCCGTCCGTCCGTCTGTTACGCTTTGGGGTACCAATCTCTTATCCGCAACTCCTCTCATACCACTGAATGAAATTTGATGAAACTTTCACAGAATCTTTATTACATATTGCCATTGGGCACCTCCTATTTTACTTTTTGATCTGACATATATTTTGGAATTTCCAGAGCAAAACATGGACACTGCCATTTTATTTATATGGGAGGCGGGGGTATTATTTAGTGAGCTCATTGCTCACAGTACCTCTAGTTTAAAATTTACTTCCGGTCACGTGATTTCTTGTTCTCAAAATGAGATGTTAACATTACGAGATCTCTTAAACTGTAACAGATCAAGGCACTATACAAATAAAGCATAAAATGCATCTGCAGTCATTTCCAGTCGTCACAAGAAGTGATAAAAACATTGAAAATGTTTTTTGTAAATGTTAGTAGGACTATAATTGTCAAAAGTAATGTCGAGAATCTTGGTAAGTTACATCCCCGGCCGTTTGTTTTCCTGTATCGTTTTAAATATTATATGCCTTTTTTAGCATAGATATAAGTTTATTCATACAGATAAAAAGAGGAGAACGGAAGACCGTTTTTGTTGCTGTAGCAACAAGAGTTTCTAGTTCTATATATGTTTTGACACAAAGTTTTGAGTCTTTTAATTTACAATTGAATACATTGTAATTGATCTTTTAATTTCTTCAGAAGACGTCTGGAGGCACATGTTCATCCCAGTCAATTCTGTAAAGAGAATAAATGATTAATTTAAAAACGTTGAAATTGTAACATCGTTTTTCGGTTTTCAATATTGCTTGTCATAACCCGTGTTTACTCTGCTCATAATTTGGTATTTTTGATGGTGTTTTGAATTAGAATACTTTACATTATCTTGCATATTTGATAAAGCTGTTGGGAAAAATGTTTTGCAGGAAATATATCTAAGCTGAAGAAATCAAAGGGGAGCAGAGGAACTTTGAAAATTAGTTGTGCTGAAAAATACTTACAGGGAGTTGGGAGTTTCAAAATTATAGGATCAAATATGTATGTACCCGTACATATATTTACTTATACATTGCATATATCTCGCCCCCTCCCCCGACTCATCTTTGAAACTCATTGAAACTCAAAGTAAATCCTAAAAAATGAAACTCAAAGTCGCAAAAGAACAACGCATTTGTTTTCCTTTAATGGTTGTTTAAGGTTTTGATTTTTTAAATTCTCGATTTTATCCTTATTTTTCTTTTGAATACCTCACTGACTTTCATAACTCCTCTTCATTTTCTGGTTTAATCACCAGTATATCGGAAATTATAATAGTGGAATGGAGGCATGGAAAATAAGTAAATCTACTCAATCAAACTAATAACTGCTAAAGTCAATGTATTTGGCATATTGAAAACTAGATTCAAATTAGTGATTGTAAACATATTGTTCTTACCAAAATGCTACGGCATTCTTCAACGATTTCGTGCATATAGGAGTCCATTGTACTTCGAGTTTCATTACGTAGTACCATTGCAAAACATCTCCGTAAGAACTCGTTGGATAACCCGTTGGTTGACGTTGTCCTTTTTTCTCTTTGCCTGCAAATATAAGTTATATTTAAATTTGTGTATGTTAAAAGAAATATGAATACCTTATGAATGGTGTATTGTAATAAAAAAATTATTAAGCGATTCGGAGCTTGTTTGAGGCGCCGCGTCAACATAAAACTTTAACATAAGTATTGACTGTTTCTTCCCCCAAGCATTAGAAATTAGATATGAAAGTCATGGGTCTTTTGGATATGTCCCTTGTCAAAGTAGGCGTTTGCACGATAAAGAACCCTACCTGCTTAATGACCGTTAGTGCCGATTGTATGTCTATTTCGAAGCCCTACACCGGCTTTACCATGAAAAATTCTCGAATGAGGCGTTAAAAAATATACAATCAATTTTAGCAGATCATGATAAGAAGAGCTCATGGCGGGGTTTACTAGTCGACATGGGATGTTCTCTTCTCCATGGCAACTAAACCTTCTTCTGATAGTTAAGAGGTCCGTGTTCGATCTGTTCCAAAATATGAAAAGTTTAATGGACGCTTGAGCTTAAATTTTGTTCGTTTTCTCCATATATTTTATTACATTCATACTTGAGAATATTCTGTACGCAGAAATTTTCAAAAATGATACTTTCAGGATATGGATTCGATCGTAAACACCCTACTAATTTGTTCGGAACCTTTAATTTTTTTGATGTTCTTCAAATTATAAAACCCGATGAGTTTAGCGTAGCTCTGTCAGTGGCTCTGGCGAGACTACAGCTAGATAGGGTAAAATATTTACGGAAATGTGGCTAGTAGTGACTTGCACGTGGAGACAAGGTAAACAGAAACGTTATGTTGCGTTTCAGTTTTTACCACTCTATAATATTTATAGAAATGCACTTAATTCGATCTCTAGTACATTCATTCAAACTTAAACAAGTATTTTCTTTATATTTTCTGCAGTCACGAATTAAATTTCTTTTTGGACAAATATTTTTCCATATGAACCGAGACTATATTTTTTGGCGCCAGATTTGCTAATGAGGCACAAGCATGATTTTGACTGACCAATCAGCTGAATGAGTATTGCATTATAGGTTACTACGAATACTATAGGAATTTTACGGTTGAATAAAAAAGGAAACTCTTCTGGTAAACGAAAAGCATCTTTTTTTAAATTCTTCATTATTTTCATGCTCAAATGACAAAAAAATTATTTTTGAAATAAACGGCGGAAGTCTAGGTTTTTCAAAGTCATACTGCAAATCGATTTGCTTCTGTATAATGTCAATCATGAATGGTTCTATATATTGCTGTACTATCCGTGAATACAATTGTCAGGTGAACATGTATTCCCTGGCCGAAACACGTCATTACGAGTATAGTTATGTAAACAAAGTTTTGTTCATTTAAATGCATAAGACATGCTGCTCGTTTCCCTTACCCTTGACATGCTGGTGTTCTAAACTAGACAAAGACTACATTTTATTACACAAATTTTTTTTCTCATTAACAACAAATCTTTCATAGTTTTTAATCTTTGTATTTTGTTCACAAGAACTTTTTTTCATTCCATTGAAATGATCATAGATTGACCTGAAACACGTGTTCGAAGTAGAATGTAAACATTTATTTGGCGTAAACGTTGATATTTATTCTACGATTGGTCAGTTGCTCGTGGTAAGATCCTCTGTGCGCATTTATAACAATAGCCATATAAGGCAAACAAAGGTTTGTCAGCGAAGATGATATTACACCTATTTTTTACCAGCGTATCGGTCGTTAATGAGCTAGAATATTCGGCGTAAAGTGTTATAAGATATATCATTTGTTATTTTAACCCCCTCCACTTTAGCCATCTTTTTTTCTGTTTAAAACCATGAATGTCTTTCAGAAAGGTATGCATGGAAACACATTTTTTACAGGACATACAGACTACATTAATTTTCTGTTTACTGCCAATTTTCGGTTCTACTCTTTAACCTTTGAACAGGTCAACTTAAACCACGTGCCTTGAATTGAAATCACAATAACATTTATAGGGGTGGTAAAGATTGATCCCTTTATTCCGCGCTTCCAAAGCAGGCGCTCTTACCAATGCCACGCAGGCAATATTATCCTAATGTTATCCCCCCCCCCCCCGTCGACGCTTAGTAGCACATCAAATGATGGTGTTCTTTAAAAATAAAATTGTTTTATCTACAAACCGAATATTCTAAAGAAATTTTGGATATAAATTAAATTTCACCTTTTAAACTTAAATCTATCGAGCGCACTCTTGAACGCTTCCTTCTCATTCTTCTCGGAAACTGTTGCACCTTAAAGATAACGAAGAAATTAAAGTAAAGAAATAACACAATCTTAAAGTTTAACAATATAAATTGAAAGTAGTATAGTTTGCTCTTTTAGTATATAGTTTAAAATTTAAATCTCTATTAACCGATAATGAAAACAAAATTATCAAAGTAAGGTCTATTTCAAAATACTGTAAACCAACTTTTATTCGCGAGTAAACTAGTTTGCGACAATTTATTTTCGCGATCCAGCCTTTTTGGAACTGTTTTAGTAGAAAAAGAGACTTTAAGGACGCATTCGCGGCGAGAAATATTCGCGATGACGAGGCTCTCGCGAACGTCGCGAAAATTTCTCGCACGCGAATAAAAGTTGGTTTACAGTACTTGAAAATACATCCTTTAAGACACACAATAAAATAGACACACACTAGAATAAATAAAAATGCACTGAATTCTTTCTTCCGGAAAACTGGCTGTAGAGTAGGATTTCCTCCCCGGAAAACTGGATCTAATTTTGCCGTGTCCATCCGTCTGTCTAGCTGTCTGTATGTCTAGCTCTCCAAAAACTTTAATCTTGCACATATCTTTTGATTTAGTGGAGCTATGACTTTCATATTTCATATGTGTGTTCCCTGTGACAACTCCTCTCTTTATGTACCACCAAATTTGACCTTTTGATCTTGAACATTCGCATAATTTATCATTAACGTCATTAATAGTCAACGGGCATTCAATAAATTGTGTATATGCTGTGGACTTGAAAAATAGAATGCTATGCATATAAAGTAATAAAAAGGCGAAAATAAAATATGAATGCGTCACAAAGGTAAGTATTAGTATTATGGTCTTATTTAAAAAATCTATTGGGCTATAAATACGGGTTGGTACGAGATTATATATACCATAAAGTTGGAATTCGATATTGTGACCAACCAGTACTTACAATGAAGCGCATTGAAGTGGCAAAATTTTCCATTTGGATGAAACGTTCTGAGTCATGTTTTGAACGTCAATTATAACATAACGACACGCCCATTTCTTTAGAAACGAGAAAGAAATATTCATCGTAATGTCTTATGGCAACCACTTTCCGCGACAATCAACATTAGTAATGCTGAAATAAAGATTTTTGAATAAGAAAGAGTTATACATAGAGACGCTGCTTCTGTAAAGCACGCATTACAACGAATTTATACATAGTTATGATGTTATCATGTTTAATTGAGTTAGTGTAACACGTGTATCAGTCGAACACGTGCTTACTCGGTGTTCATGTAGACCGTCAATTTGATTGGCTACTATATTTATAGAATACCTGTTCTACAGGTATTCAATTGAATCATTTGACCGATATTTCTTTTCTAAAGAAATGGGCGTGTCTAAAGATAACTCAAAACGTTCCATACAAACGGAAAATTTTACCACTTCAATGCGCTTCATTGTATACCCATATAGATATTTAGAAATGATGCCTTATTTCTTAAATAAATGGTACAGGTGGTATTTAATTGATAGGGACCCGTTATCAGACGAGCACATTATGGTTAAGAAACGAACGGTTTATCTGGTGAAATCTGAACAAAAACTTTAAAAAGTTGGAATGGAAAATACAGGTGATTCAGAATTGCTGATTTAGTGAAAGCACAATTAGTTTTTTAAAGAAATTAAAGCATTTTCAAATGAAATTATACAACGAGAACAATTGTTAGAAAAATAAATGCCAAGTGTTAGAAATTGGTTTAAATATTAAGTGATTTTATTGAACCATTATGCGTGAAATGTATAGTGATAGTATTATTTTTTGTATTTTTAAGAGACTCTTGACGCTTTGTTTTTCACATTACATATAAAATGCTGTTAAGTATAATCCGTGGTTACAAATCGTGTTGATTTTGAAGTAAAATAAATTGATTTCTATGAAATC